TTTGTCCTCATATTTTGATATTTAGTTTTATAAACCATAGAAATAATCTTGTTTTGTGTATAGTATGTCGACGACGCAATACGACTGGCTTGCGAAGGCTTAGCTAAAGAAATCACGCAGCATAAAGATGCCGGTGAAGCTCGTAAGCTCGGACTGTGGCTTGCAAATATTTGCAAACATTCAAGGAAGACAGCTGAAAGGAATACATTGGATACACTTCCAACTTTGTACCTCTTACTCGACTTATCCACATTTTTCCAATTTTATTATGATAAAAAGTAAGTCACTGGTTTTGAATTACTTTATTTATCATATCATCACTTCATATTGATGTCTTTATTACTTCGTTTAAGCATGTAATAAATTAAAACTTTATCACTGCTGAAGGTTCAAACTTATAGCTATAACAAAAAGGACGAATGCTGTGAATATGTCTTCTTACTGTCTTGAAAAACAGTGTTGCTTTTCAGATAAGTCATAGGTGTTTTATATTGATCTAGATAGAAAGTTCTTCATGCAGAGTACATATTATACTCTGTTTCTGTAAGTAAAACATATCGTTACAAAAATACACTTATCATGTTGATAATTGGAAATGGGGAGAGTTAACTTAAGGCAGAAATGAGAGTAACCTGTTTATGCTCGACATTTTGATACCACCTAGAAAAATTGTAAAAAGCAACCTTATAATATATTCGTCAATCTAACAGCTCGTCATTGGTTGGTTGTCTAGTGTACACATCTCTTTAAAATTTTTATTTTCAGATTTGAAGCTTGTATGGAAATAATTAAAAAATTGAAATGCATACCGCTGAATCCAGATGAAGTGCAGGCATTTGTATCCACTTTCTACATGGTCTCTAATCAAGTTAGTTTTTGCTTCTGAAGAGCAGTTAAAAATTCAGAAGTAATTTTTTTTTGTTGCTTTTTATACATTATGGAACTTTCTCCTTCACTCGGGATTATAACAGAGTCCCTATTGCTTGAATTGGTATATAGAAATTATTCCATAAATATACAAACATGTTTGCATGTTTCCTTGTTCATTTCCTTTTCTTTTCTGATTTTTATTCTCAGGAACACTAAATTAAGTCTTGAAATTAACCTAAAAGTTAATATCTTTATTAAACAAGGCAATACATGAATTTTTTAGTAGAATTAACTATTATTTACACTAAAATCGATTCATATATGAATCATTTAGGAGACTTGGTGGAATTTGAATAATTGTGGTTAGTAGTAATAATATCTTAAGCACATCAAAGCAATATATTATGAATCAGAGGGTCTTATTGAACATCTTTTCCCTTTCAGATGCGGTTAGTGCTACCAGATTTATGTGTAGCAGTAATGAAATTATTAGCGGAAGAATTGAATCGAAATCCAGCAGCCAGCGATGAACTCCGATTATCGGCCAAAGCAATTATTTTGTATGTTGCAATGATCCCTTATCGATTTCCCTCACAGATTAGTACACAAATTCTGCATTTAAGCACAATTTTCGAATGAATGAAAGTTTTTAACATGAAGATTTATGGTGTTATATTTTACTTGTTATCCTGATTATTAGTGCTTGTCTAAAGTTGCCTGTGTTTTAAATTCATGTTGAAAAATCATGTTTTGCATCTACATTTTTTTTTACTTTGAAACGTTGACATTTTGTACTTTGAAACGTTGACATTTTAAACTTTGATGCGAATAAATTTTAAGAACACGCATGTTTCATAGTGTTCATTGCTATTAAAATTATGTTGTTTGATATGTGCTTCAATGCCGATTTTTATTTATATGATATATATTTTCTTTTTTTTGATTTGATGATTAACATACTTTGCGTATTTTATCTGTGACTTCCTACTTAATCGCTCAGTTCGACGAATGATTGTTTCATTACATGAATTATTTTAAATTTTAATTTTAATAGGGTCAGCCATGATTCTGAATATATTACATATTTCGGAGGCTGTTCGCAGAATTTCATATATTGATAATTAGAAATTAGTTCTTTTGGTTTAGAATAGCATTTAAATATTCCTAAGTATTTTCAATTTTCATATCTGCCACACCACATTATCTCCGGGATTAGATTTTCATTCCATCCTAGATCTTTTTTATTCAAAATTTCTTACTTTCACCTGCAAAACTGAGAGCTGGTCAGAACTTCAAGGTTGGAAAGGTATTATCTTAACTGCAGTTCCAACATTTATTAGTACTACTGCAATGGTTCTTGTTTAATTCCTTTTATTATATTGAAAGGTTATGTTTGATTTACATAGTGTTAATTTTTTTAGAATGGAAACAATGGTAAATTAGGAAGTGATAATTTGAAAAAGAATTGATGATAACTTGAAAAAGAAACAATGATAAATTAGGAAATGATAATTTGGAAAAAAATTGGATGGTAAAGATAGGTAGGGTGGAAGGAATAGCTGATAATTAAAGGTGAAGGTGGAAATTTTGAAAAGTATGAATTGATTAAAAATTGTAGGAGAGAATCAAGGTGT